TGTGTGCGCAGAAATTACGAGAATGGCGACGACAAGGAGCTGATGTATCGCTGTTGGATTTGAGAAATGCGCACCTACAGATTCACATTGACAAATCGCTATGGCCGTTTCAAACAGTGGTCATTAAGGGCAAGCGGTTTTGCCTTTACGCGTTTGGGTTTTGGCCTGAATGTGGCACCACTTGTCATGAAGTCAGTGATCGACATGATAACGCCCCAGGATCAGGACATTAAGAGTGCCACGCCGGCATACGTCGACGATATCTTCATAAATGAAGGCCTAGTTTGTGCAGCGCCGCGAAAGACAGCACTTTGCAGATTACGGGCTAGTCTGTAAAGATCCGAACGATTGAGAGACGGAACTAAGTTCCTGGGTCTGCAAGTCTGGGAAGAAAGCAACTCCCTTTGATGGAAGCGGGAGGTCAGGTTCCAGAAATTGCTCAAAAGGTGACCCGCCAAGCATATTTTCCTTGTGCAGGAAACTTGTGGGTCATTTCCTGTGTGCGGTTGGCTTAGGTGGCAACTGCATTTATTAAGCGTTATGCAAGTACACTAACCAAAGGATGGGACGACGAGATAAAGGATGCCCCTCTTGGACGTATGCTGGAGGAAACAGTGGCCAGAGTGCGGGAATCAGATCCTGTCGGTGGAGACTGGTGTGTGAACGGCAATGAAATGACAGTTTGGGTGGATGCAAGCTCCGTGGTCACGGGAGTAGCACTAGAGGTGAATGGGAGCGTCGTGGAAGATGCTTGCTGGTTGCGTCCAACCAATGATGCCAAACACATTAATCTTGCTGAGCTTGATGCGGTGATCAAGGGCGTGAATCTTGCCCTGCAGTGGCAGGCACCAGTTATGCATGTGGTCACCGATTCAGCATGTGTGCATCGGTGGGTGTCTGACACCCTGACAGGAAGGACGCGCGTGAACACGAAGGCAGCGGGTGAAATGCTGATGAGGTGGTGCTTAGAGACACTGCGAGCTTTGGTGGAGGAGTACGCACTGACTATGACTGTGACGTTGGTGAAATCTTGTCAGAACCGCGCTGACAGCCTCACCAGAGTGCCGCAACGCTGGTTGGAGATGCACAAGAAAGGAGGAGAACCGGTGCAAGTGAGTTGTGTCACCGCAACGAGCCAGTTGAGCAAACGTCAGGTGACCCACATCCACCAGCAGAGTGGGCACCCAGGTGTTAAAAGAACAATGTACTTTGCTAGACTGTAGATCCAACGGTGTCTAAGGAACTGGTAAAATCTGTCGTTAGAACCTGTGAAGCCTGCCAATCGATCGATCCAGCACCAGTGCATTGGAAGAAAGGAAATTTGAGTGTGAGAAAAAATTGGAGCAGGTTAGCAATGGACGTAACCCATTGCAATGGTAGCCATTTTTCTTACGCCATTGACTGTGGTCCCTCCCGCTTTGTAGTATGGCGGCCACTGAGACGGCAAGACTCTGCTGGTGTCATTCGTCAGCTAGAGACAGTCTTCTACGAACGAGGCCCGCCGACTGAAATATTGACTGACAATGACACCACGCTTCACTTGCAGACAATTTAGGGAATTTGTAAACAGCTGGGGCGTGCATTTGAGGTTCCGTGCGCTTACGTGCCGCCTGAAATGGCATTGTGGAACGCAACCACAGAAGCGTCAAAACCATAGCGGCCAGGAAAAATTGTTCAGTCTTGGAAGCGGTTTACTGGCATAACGTCATACCTAAGGACAACCTTTCACCTTCCACGGCACCGCTGATGTACTGCACACATACCACGTCCGGGTGAGAGGCATCGACGCGACGCCCCTGCCTGAATCACAAATAACCGAAGGGGAATACAAGAAAGGGGACATTGTCTGGGTTAAGACTCCACGTGGTAAATGCACGACCAAATTTGGAACCGGACGTGTGACCGAGGTGGTGAGTCAGCAGTCAGTGAGGGTCGATAGAACGCCTCGTCATGTTAGAGACCTGTGCCCTTTTTTGGGCTCAAATCCCACAACTGACGAAGAAGACACGGAGGATAGTGAACAGCCAATATACATAGAGTTGGATTCAACAACCAATCACTCCGATAGCGGTAGTTTGCCAATAGATCGGGACGTGTCTAATGAGAGCTCCTCTGATGAAGAAGTTCAACCAATCCCCCTTCGGAGGAGCACCTGGAACAAAAGACCGTATCCTCACTGTCATCTGTGTGATCAGGAGATCAGGGGGGAGTGTGGCGGACATGAGACAGAACCTGGGACGAGCACAACTGGTCGCGACTTGCCTTGTCCCCGCCAAAAAAGAGCCCATATTTGCTTAGCATGTAAAGCTACTGCAGTTGAAATGAGGGAGAGAAAAAAGCACTTACCGCTCTGCCGTAATCCATCCTCGGCCAGATAATGTAAAAGAATGAGGGGGGACTGGCATCGCATTTTTATGCAATAACGATGCAATGCATTATGGGACATGGACACAATGAATTATGGGATCACATGAAGACGCAATGGATTATGGGTACATGAACAATTATAAAAACAACTACTTTTTTCCGAGTCGGGGAGTTCTTCGAGGGACGTTCACGGTTGACGGCTAGAACGGGCAGTTAGTGTGATTTGGAGACAGAACTCAAGAAGGAACGACTCAAGTTTGAAATACCAGCTGGGAGAGCTTGAATTTACTCGCTGGTTACTGTTTTCTTCATTCGCCTCATTTCTCCATAGTCTGGAACTGCTTCTGAATACTGTCCTGAATGTTCTGAATACTGTCCTGAATTTTCTGAATCTTTCCCAATAACCCCTTGACGTAAAGTAGACAGACCATGGTAATTTTCTGATCCTACCTCCTTGACCCTTCTGTTTCCACCTGCAGATGCTGATGTTATGTTTGCAGGCTTGTTGTTATTCTGAAGAGTACACTTCGTGTTAATCATTTCTTGTTGGTATGTGTCTAGGTCACCAGTTGTTGTAGGTATCGGATGATCCTTTTTTTCGCACTAAGGGTGGTGGGAATTGAAGTTGAGGTTTTGTCTGGTGGAGGTTGGCTTGTCATAGATAGAGATGTCTTTAATCCATCCTCTGTGTAAGTTATTAGTACATTCACAGAGGCTAGCTGATTATTATTTTCTTCTTCCATTGTGGACTGGACAGAAAATCTTATGAGTTCATATGGTTCAGTATTATTAGTACAGTTTCCTGGTGTGGCCAAAGTACTCATCTACATATATATATTCCTATAGCTATTTCCTTGAAGTGTTCCATGTATATGTTCACCATCACAGGTGAGAATGGTGAACCCATAGCCAAGCATTCCTCATGTTGGTATATGTCAGACTCTAGCTGGAAGAATGTTGTCTGTACACATATCTATTGGAATGTTCATACATTCCCCTAGGGAGGCGTCTGATTCTAATTGGTTTTAAATGGCTGTTAGGGCCTCATCTGTAGGAAATCTAGTGAACAGGCTCACCACATCCAAGCTTACAATTCAGTTGCTATGGATGGGAGTCCTCAGACCAATTCCACAAAGTGTTCTGAGCTAACATGTGATGGTTAGCAAGCTCGGAATCTGCTCAGTGGGTGGCATGCTGAGCCTCTGCAACTGACTATAGATCACAATACCAACTTTGTGAATCTTTAGGAGACCATACATATATGGCAGCTTGGTGTAACATTGAGTGAACTTTCTAAACTTATTCAGTGCAAAGTAGTTTTTGTTCTTATTTAGGATTTGTAACAGCTTCCTCTCAGTTTTTGGGGTTGAATCTGTTTTTACCTTACTATAGCTGCCATCCCTAACTAGGCTGATGAAGACCAAACGGCACAACAGCCAAAACATTGTGACAACAACAAAGATCAGGACAATAGTCCAAATATAAATAGTGTAAATAATAATATACTCTGATATGTAATTCTTCAAATCACTTCTTGGGTTTATAAACCCTGAATACCTTATTTTTACATAGCCATTATTGATGCTACTTTTATTACATGATGCATATGTACACATAATTTGAGAATCTCTGATATTTCAGTCCCTAAAGCACAAAGGAAGACATTTTAGTGGTTATTATTCTATTGAAAGAAGAATCTTATTTTTAGATTAACGAACTGTGATAAGCAGAAAGAAGCAAAAGGGGAAAGGAAAAACCCAATTTTCTCTGTTCAAAAAATGTGGCAATATTTTCTCGTAAAGAAATGTGTGTAGTCTTCAGTTTATAAGGAGAAACTTGAAAATTATGACTGAAGACTGCCATGTAGTGAGCAATGTCATGTGGGAATGAGATAAAATTGAAATGAAGTAAAAGTCTATGAAATGAATTTATTAAATAAAGGAAATAAAAAAGAAACTGACAAATAGAAGAATATAGAAATGCCTAGAATGCAACAGAGATTCGGAAAAAACAATCATTCATTGATTCATGTTTTGATAAAATAAGTCTCCATGTCTTTTATTGAGTCATTTCTGGATACCTATAATGTCCATGGAGTTTATTTATTGTATCTGTACTATTGTTCTGATAAAAAATCTGGACAATATCAGCATTAGCAATGAGTAGAGAGTTACTCATGTGTTAGAAAGTAAATATAATAAACTTGTAACAGAGAGGTGATATTATGCATTCTAGAGAGGAAAAATCTAGGATATCCAAGTTTAGCATTTCCTTGAATCATTAACATAAGGTTAAAAAAATTATCAGTCTCTTTTCAGTCAGAAATGTTGTTTATTATAGAAGTCTCCTTTCTGAAAAATCAGTAATGTTCTAAAATTAGGAAATAATATATTTTCGTTTACTTTTAAGGTAATACTTGATATAATTGTGCTATTAAAGTAAATGGAATGTCTCACATCCCTCATTTTATAGTCTCAGACTGACCCTACTAGATAACAGTTTGGATAATTGAATTGATATAAAGTTAATCTATTTGATTTGAATTAAAACATTCTTGAATATTTGCATTAGTTAAAATAATTTTTTCAATCTTACCAATAAATTTTTTTTTTTTTTTTTTTTTTTTCTTACAGGTGTAGAACCCTTTTCATTTTATTTTCTAAATGGCTTCTTGAATTTCAATGTTGCTTTTCTATTTGCTTTCCTTTGTCTTCCAATATCTGTAAGTGCCTTCTTTCATCGTATTTACTCTTTTTTCATGTTCGTGGAGTTTAGTTTTAAATAATGATATCTCAGAAGTACAATTCATTGTTTTAGTAATGTTTAGTCATTAAAATTATTTAAATACAGCTTACCTACTAATACATTTTCATAAAATACCATTGTTTTTTCAGAGGTTATGATCCTCTGTGCCAAGTCTTGTTTACACTTTTCAATATTTGTTGAAGAATTTGTTTGATTTCTGTAAGACTAAGATTTTATATCTAGTTAAAAGACAAAATTCTTAATGTTAATATGAATAAATAATTTCAGTGTTTAAAATCAAATGTTGAATTTGTCATATTTCTAACAGTAAAATGTTTAATGCAAAGAAATGAAAATTTTTTTTGCCAAATATTTGGTTATATTAAAAGAAAAAATTACTTGACAATTTAAATTTAAATTATAGTAAATACATTGAATTATATTTTTTAAACTATGTAAGATAAAATTATTCACAATTTTTAATTATATCTTTTTTGTAGCTTTTACTAAAGGTTAGCCAAAAACAAGCACAAAACTCAGGTAAATATTCCTTTTTCAAAGTTGGTAATGATGTACTGTATATGTTTGTCAATATGTGTCTATAACCTAATCTATTAATGCAAAAAATAAATTTTATGGAACAAATATTTATTTTTCAAGATCATGTCTTTCCTTGTCAATGCATATGTACAGATTCCTCACTTAACCTGAGGTTCAGAAATTAGCATCTAGGTAAAAGAAAAAAATATAATTTAATCTGACTGGTTGTAGTTAAGAAGTTAGGTGGGGAAAAATGCATGAGGTTACTGAGAATCTATATAAACAGCAGCCATGGTTCAGAGTGTTTTGTTAAGCTGTTAGTCAGCTGTAAAATGGCAATATTGGAATGCTGCTTTCTCATAGGAATTTAGTTTTCTACATGTATAGACAAAACCTACCAACAGGATGTTTTGGAGAAGCCATTGTCACTTTCCCCCACATACATAAAAGGGGAACAAATGCTTTTTTGTTGTGGTAAAGAAAAGACTGTCAACTGATAGTAGCAACTGCAATAGATTTCTTGTTTCTTGGCCGCAACACTTGTAGCCAAATCACAGTTCACACGATAGTCCGACGTAACAGTCTAACACACACCGTAGAAACGACAAAATGGGGTAACAAATCCAACCTTCATTTCTCGCCAACAACGCGTGTTCGTTTCACAGCTAAAAAAAAAATCATCTCCTTTTATAAGCAAAAAACAACTTCTGTTCACTGAGAGAATTTTCTGATTGGTCACGCCATTCAGGGGAGGGAAGAACATTAGCATAGCTTCTAGTCATTGATGTAGATTTTTGCTGACTACTTTTTGGTAATTTTTCTTCGGCAGATCGTACACAAAACACAAACTTTTTTTTCAGGGTAACTGATTATCTCTTTCACTACATTTTTGTGTAAAGATACTTTGGAAATTTTTTCATTTTTTTTTTGTTTTTACTTGACGGTTACAGTTATCTGCTTCATCTATATGTATATAATAACAATTACATTTCTCCTCAGTTCATACTACTTTGTTGTCTTTGAAATTTACTGTTTGTTGTTTCTTTGTTTATTTAGCCCCCCCAATACACTGAACCATTCTGTCAATATTTTTGCCTCTATTATTGACCATTTTGCTTTTCAATGAACAACATATGTCTGGGTACTCATCTAAATTCTTCTCCATAGATTACTATACTGCCAATAAATCTTGCAGTTACTTATAATCTCAGGTTCACAAGATTTTTAGTAGTAGAAGCCAGCAATAGGTGATTAACACTATATATATATATATATATTGTCCATGTAAATAAATTATGTTAAACTATATATACACAGCAGTTGTTTGTTACAGTTGAGGATGAAATCTTGAGAAACAAAAACAGAAGTATGTGAAGAAAACAATATTTCAGTCAAAACAAACCATGTACCAAGTAAGCAATCGCAACAAAAAACATGCACATAGGAACAACCAAAAAAATAAAGTTTCAACATAACAAGAAAACAGATAAGAAACTGTTTTGTTTGTATTTAATTTTTTAAAAAGATGTTTAATTTTCATAAGCAAACATGAAGATGTTTAAAGTTTTCACACTGGGGGCATCTCACTGTGTGGTGAATGCACATAAGATGCAAAAGATTCCCCAAGTGTTACCAACAAGGAGTTAATGTGGCCATACATGACTTGCAAAAAGCATATCTTCAATTACACTATGAGTCACTATAGCCATATCAAACCATGATGATCAAGGAGAAGTGGTTTTGCCTAATGTGGCACCTCTAGTCACAAAGTTCATTATTGACACTGTGCGGTCACAAGAGGAGTAAGTAGAGAAAGCGATGTTGTCATACATTGATGATGTGTATATCAATGAGAGCATCATGTGTGCAGAGCATGTCAGGGCAAAACTGGCCAAGTATAGACTGATGTGCAAAGACCCAGAATGTTTAAAGTACTGGGCTTGCATTCTCGGACTGGAAGTCTGGCAGGAGTATAACACTCTGCATGCAGGGAAGTGCAATCCCAACTGTCCCTGATGTCATGACTGTGTGGGAAGCTGGTAGAATACCTGCCCATGTGTGGATGGCTGCATGTGGTGACCAGATTCATCAAGTGGCAGGCAAATGATGGGATGACCAAGTTGATAACATCTCCCTCAAGCAGATGGTAAAGGAAACCATGGACAGAGTGCAACAGGAAGATCCTGCCCAAGGCAACTGGTGTGTGAATGGATCTGAAATCAGCTACCTAATGACGGGAGTGGTAATGGAAAAAGATGACACAATGTTGAAAGATGCATGCTGGCTTCAGCCAACAAACAACGCCCAACATATCAACTTGGCTGAACTGGATGCTGCAAAAACAGGCCTCACTTTGGCCCTTCAGTGGCAGGTAAAGTGTTTGCACATAAAAACCGATTCCTTGTGTGTGTACCACTGGCTGACATTGTCACTGGCAAAACTAGGATATGTACCAAAGCAGTGAGAGAGATGCTAGTCTGATGACAGTTGAGCAAACTGAAGGAACTGGTCCAAAAAGTTTGGGTCAGTGTCCATATAAATGAATGTCTCAAAGCAGCTAGTCAGTTTTTCAGGCGGAGTTTCAGGGAATTCGGAGTTCCAGACAGTTCGAGTTTGGAGTTAGTTCAAGAGTGTTGCCTTGCAGAAGCTGACCGAAAGATTTCCACATCCTTTTCAACGTAGTCTTCCTACCAAAAGCAAGTTTTTATTGACGAACAACTTAAGATACCATAACTGGCTTAAAAAACGCAAAAAGTGTCATGAATCCATAGAAACGGGCCGGGAGAGAAACACACTCCTGTATTCAACAGATAGATAAAGATAATTGTTATTTCTCAACATATTTGAACCTTGTGAGTTTGTTTTATTATTTTCTTTTACTTATGCTTTTGCGTTATCACCTTTACCAGCTTGCACTACGGCCCGACGCCTGATTGATTTCATCTACCTAAGTTCAAAATCACAATGTGTGTAAGTTAGACTTGAGATCAAAGTAGTTACTTCGGTAACCAGACATTGGAAGTGAGCTGGGAACGACAAGTTGGTATCAAACCAGGAACGACCAGATTGACTGGGACACAGGCTGGTGGCAGCGACAACAAGTCACCCCCAAACGCTGGTAGAAGAAACCTTACAGCTTCGCACTGCAACTGGGAGTTGACCACAGGCTGATGGTGCAGTGTCATATATTGACATCACAACTAGTGGACGTCACATATTGGCGCAGGACTGCGACCGTGACCACCAGTGGGTGTCACAGCTACTCACAGACAATGACACCACATTCTACAGCAGGGAGTGCTGAGCCTTTGCCAAAAGATGGGATATGCATTTGTGATTCCAATGCACACATATCCCAGCAGGAAATGGAATAATGATTGGTGTCATGGAAGTGTCAAGAGGATTGTGGCCAGAATGAAATGTACTGATGAAGAGGCCACCTACTGGTACAATTTAACCCCCAAAGATGACACCTTCAGGGACCTTCATCCTTTCCTATGTTCACAATCTTCAACAAGTAGTGAAGATGATGTGTATGAAAGAGAGTAGGAAATCCTTGTGAGCGTGGATAGACCAGATGATCCCATAGAGGAAGAATCACATGATGAGGTGGAAGGACATGAACTAGTCTCTTTTCAGAGAAGCACTTGATGGAAGAGATCTGTTCCAAGTTGTTGTATCTCTGATGATATCAGTGGGGAATGTGGTGAACACGTGTCGGTACAGATGTAAAAGAGGCCCTGGATCGCATGTGGACATATTTGTCAATATCAGTTAATCTGGATGACATGTCTAGATATGGGCCTCTCAGCAATTGGTCAGAATCCAGGTTTTAGTAAAATGCTTCATGCTAATAAGAGCAATGGGAAAACCAGCAGTTGGTAAGATAATATGTCTTGTAAAGTTGGTCCTGTAGGCATTTCGTTCCTAAAGTTGTTGTGGTTTCCTAAGTAGTGTTGTTTTTGGAGTCTATATTTCTGAGATGAGGTATTATGTACACTATTTACATTAGTCGGACTATTGTCCTCATCTTTGTCACAACGTTTCGGCCTTCTTCAGGTGGTTGGAATTTCGAACTGAACCCTTTATTTTGATCACTGGGGTAGACTGTTCTAGTTCCATGTGCCATGTTTGATGGATGTCAGTTATCAGTTATCTCCTGCTAATTTTCCCTCTGAAAGTTCTCCACTGCCTTAACCAGGTACTGAACTCACCTTCTTTGGGTCTGTCACTGGATCTAACCAACGCCTTTATCCACTGTGCCATGTGTCCTTGAGGACATCTGGGTATGAACTTCTGAGTATTATAAACCTAATGTTTTCAGCATCGTTTTTACCAGTGCAATATTTTCCAAGTTGGATTAAACTGTCAGTTCATGAAAATTTACTATGGTTTCAGGACAATTGTTATACTTAGACCAACTTAGACCAGAGATATTAAGACTAAACAAATAACGAGAAAGAGCAAAAAAATTGGTGTGGTGGCCTAAAATATCTCAGGAGTTGGAGGAGTATCTAAAAAATGCATGTTTTGTAACATACACCATCCAACAAATAAAAAGGAAAAATTAAAAGTAACATCACTTCCTCAAGGCTCATGGCAAAGTATTGGTACAGATAGTTTCACACACGAAGGACACCAGTATATATTGTCACAATTTCAAGATATATAGCGAAGATTGATCCAATAACAAGCAATTGTGTTAAGGGACATTAAAAAAAATTCTCACTTTGAATTCCTCTTGAACTTGTCAGTGGTAACAGAAAACAATTCACAAATTATGTTTTCAAAGATTTTGCAAACAGTTATGAATTTAAACACATAACAACATCAAGTCCACATTATCCTCAAGCAAATAAAAAAGCAGAAAGTGCTATTAAAATTGCAAGAGAATTTTGAGACAATCAGACACATTTCAGGCATTAATGGCATACTGAGGTATGCCAATTCAAGCCACGGGAGTCAGTCCCACTGAATTAATTATGGGAAGGAAAATAAGA